ATTCCTAAGTGATGATTCATAACACACGTTGGATTAAGTTGGTGCATCGGCATAGGGAGTCACACCAAACATCCTAGGTAATGCCATCTGCAAATGCATATACAAAAGTTAGGTTTGAGTTTCAACCGTTTAGTTTTTGGGTTTGAGTCCCAACTTACTAGGGTGTGATGATAATTTGGAATATAAAGACACTCATTTTTGGTAGTCATGGACTCTTAGTAAGAAGGCTAGTTTGGGCACACTGCTAAATGGGGATGCCCTGGAGTCATAATACATGGTTAGAGTGTTTAATGTGAAAACTCAACATATCTAGCTTACTTTAGTGCAATTGATATTGAGGACCTGGTAAATGAAATGGGAACACCTAGTCTCAATTGCTATGGACTTTTGGTCAAAAGGGTTAGTTTGGGTGCAACACTAAGTGTGAGGATGCCCTCGAGGTCGTGGTTAATAATTTAGAGATCTGGTAGACATAATACATATTGATAAACCCATTAAGCTATCTATGTGGGATCACTAAGTGATTCCATGGCTAATAATCAAAGGCAAAGCTCCTTGGCGGGTTAAGGAATGGTATTTTTGATTCTTGAACAAATAATATGATGTGATTTAGTCAAGGTGACCAAATGGGAAATATGCCTAAAGGAAATAAGCTATGACAATGCAATGGTATTGTAAGAAAGTAATCTCTAAGGAAGGACTCATAAAAAGGTTGCAATATTAAGCCGTGGGTAGAGCCCATAGCAGAAAATGTTAGAGAGATTTATTAAGGGTGAACACCCAAACCAAAGCCTTTATTATAGAACAAAAAGAATACCTCAAGGATAGAAATAGTGATCTTATGTTGCCTTATGCAACAATCAAAGGATAGGAGCAAAAGACTAGTGGCCAAGAATAAGCTTTAAAAAAAATTAGAAGGAATCCAAATGATAAGTTATGCAACGAATGCTCATATAGTGGATGCTAACAAATTGTGGGAAAGGAAATATATTTTTAAAGATGGATTTCCCAAATCCTTCAATATAGTAAAGGTGAAAGCTCCAAGAGATGGAGCAACAAAGTAGCCAAATAATAGGGATATAAACAACTCTAACACAAATTATGGATAAATCAAATTAAATGTTTAGTGGCACGAAGTAAAAAAGAGGATAATAGTGCCCTCAATTGAAAGACTTTCTAGGATGGGAAAGTGAAGTTTGCACAACATATGCAATTCAAGGTGTCAGAAACACAAGTAAGATTGAAATAGAAAAAGTGTCTTTAACAAATTTAGTAAGAACTAAATGAACAAAAGGAAAGAACCATCACATATAATTTAATAAGACTTTAAGTTGAAGAAATTATGTTCCTTAAAGGATGGAAAGGCATGGTGAGCCTTTAGTGTTGAATCATTGATGAATATTGGCTTGGTACTAAGGAAAATTATAACTCATGATAGGTTTACTTTATGAAATGGTTTATCATTCAATAAAGGTATTGTAAGCAACTAAATTTTCATTTTTACTTTAGTTACTTAACGACACCTTTGACCATTTGGAGGAGTCTCACTCACAACCTCCATAATCCCATTCTTTACTTAAAGACATGTTAGCCCCATAAATGGCATCTATGCCATTTAGCCTTTGCACTTGGTCTAAATGCTTCATATGTCTGATCCCATGATAGACTAACGAAAGGTACCACTAACATTTCAGCCTATTATGGTAAGGCCATATCCATTTACTCTCGTTTCATTGGTAGTCCAAGACCACTTATGCCATATTCCCATTCTAAAAAATTGGGCCATTTATCCATAAGTGGTCATCTTAGGACCACATCTTAATATTCTTAGGATGCTTAGAGACATGAAGAATACTCTTCCCCACTATTTCTTCTTCAATCCCCACCACGTCCCTTTCCATCCACAGCCATGCTCGCCAACACTGCCATTAGATTAGGGCCCAAAAGCTCGACCACTAAGTCCCATTAACCTCTGGGACTTGTGACTGTATCCTTAGTCATTACACAAGAGGATTTTCCACAGTTTGGGATTTTGGGATGACATTTTGAAACACCATAGCCCTACACAAACCTCATATGTACTCTCTTCAGCTTCTACCCTTAGGTGCCCTGGTTATGTGGCTAGAGTGAGGTTTCGATGAGCCATACCAAGTATCCAAGTAAGTAGTGTCACCCACGCTTCGATTGAGAGTATCGATCATTCGATCTCCTGGGAGAGCTAAATGTAAGCTCTTGAATTTGAACTTGTCAGGAGGTCATCCAACCCAGTACTATTCAAACCCAAGGATGCTTAACCCCAAATATTCTAAGACCCTTAACCGATTGGAAAAAGGGGTGCACTCTTATTTATAGGCCCTTTCTTTTTATATTTAAACCCCTATAGATCGTGTCTTAAGTCGTTCTCTTTGATGACATACACTAAAACTGACTCTTAAACACTTCACCAAGTTACCCTACTTATCCATCTATATTCACTTTAGCCTTAAACTCCTTAATGGTTATATCATCACCCATTACATAGGTATAGCTTTCCTTAGTCACATTTGCTCCATTGGAATTCTCCCCCTACTATCCTTTTGGAGCTCATCAAACCCCCTAGGGTTTGTGAAATGATTGCTTTAGACTTTCACCCTTGGACTTAGACTTGGACTTGGACTCGGTCTCTACCCTGGTAAAAACTTGATGGATCATATAATTGTCTTAGGTGCGAGAGAGAATTCAATGGAGAACTAGTTGCAATAGTCTATTGCTGTGATTGTAGAGTGCCAAAGGGTTTTTGATGTCATTATTCTTGAGTTGGCACTATGCTTCTCACCTTAGAACATGCTACCAAACGCATGAATCAATTAAAAATTAACTTAAGACTTTCAATCCCCAAGAAAGCTTATGTGAGTTATCGTGAGTAAAGATAAGTTTAAGATCACTAGAATACTTTGAGTCTTGAGTAAATGAATGTGCATTAGTGTTAAGCTAAAGTATAATAAAGATAGGGATAGGGGTCAAGTGTTAACTCTCCCCTTTAACTACTCCTACATGGTGGTAACTACCACTTTTTGAGTTCTAACTATCAAGATTGTAATCTTAAGTGTCAAGGTTGTAAACCTAATTGTTAAGAAAATGCTCGAATGCATAGTTAATTTGCTATGCTTCATCTAGTCTCAATCTTAGTCTTGGTGTCAATCTCAATCTCTATCTTAATCCCACTACTCATTCCTAAATAGTCCCAACCTCCATTAATATAACCATTATACTTTGGAACTATAATATTGACTTCTCAAGTCAATTTCTTTAGTATCTCTGACACTTTGAATTGCACATGTTGTGCAAATTTCATTTCCCCATTTTAGGAAGTTTTTCAATTAAAGGCACCATCATCCTCTATTTTACTTCGTACCACTCTAGGCATTAAGTTCCATTTATCCATAATTTATTAAAAACTTGGTGAAAATGTTGGTTAGTGATGTTGTAGTTTTGTTGCAAATGTGAGAGAGAATTCAGTGAAGAGCTAGCTATGACGGTAATGGATTTATAGTAATAATAAAAATTTAATATAAATATATATTATAAAATAATTAATGTTAATATTAATTATTAAATATTAAAATAATAATTTCTTCTGTAAATGAGGTGATAATGCAAAACCTCTATTTAATAGCAACTATTGCAACTAGGATTAGATACACAGATCTAAATATTATTAAAATTAATAATTTTTTAAAATAACTATTTAATAAAAATGTTACCACTAAAACCTTAACAGAATATTCTTTTATGTACTAAACTATGTTGAGGACTCTCTTGGCTCCCTATGTTGGCTAGTCAAGTCTATCACTACAAGCTATTAAGTACAAAATGAAACAAGGCTGAAACTAGCTCTTCAATCTCTTCAATATTCTTTTGGTTTTCTTGTTTTAAGCTGTTGTGATTGCTATTAGTAATTATTGAACATTTGGTTTCATAAAATGGAGACTTTAGGCTTTCAGAAGTCAACAACGTCCAAGGTCTCCAAAGGACGTTGATCCAACTTTTGCATATCCAGGGATATCAAACACTAAAAGGTCTTGGAATTGCATACAATTTCAAAACTTCCCAAATCTTTGCCATTAGCAATAACCCCCTTCCATACTGTAGCTATACATACTTACAATGGTTCCATAGAGAAAAGGGGAGAATGTAAGCTTTAATTTCCTTGATATCCCTAGAGTTTCCCATTTCAGTTTTGTGCTTGAAAAACTTGACAGTACCAATACTTAATTTCTTTCTCCAGTTGCAAATTGAGAATGTATGCATTGAGCAGTGTTTTGCAAGAAGCTGCTGAAGATGCTTTGTACATAAAAGGGAGTAGCCAGAAAACCTCGAACTGTAATTGATGTGGGATTTGATAATAAAGCTGGGAGACTTTAAGAGTGTAATTAGCGATGGTGGTGTGGATTTGTGATGAACAGGAACGCCAGCATCGATCTTGTCAAGTCATGCACAACACAACGTCAGGCTGGGGAGATCTACAATCGTATTCATCACCTAGTAGTTTCCGACGTCTACCTCGCCAATCTCCTGATTCAGCTACTTGGCAAAGTTGGCAGCCCACAGCTCTCCCGCCAGATCTTTGATTCAGTGCCTTGCCACAAAAGAGACTCGTACACATGGGACTACCTCCTCGTGGCCTATGCCCAAAACGGGCATATCAATCAAACGCAACAAGTCTTCGATGCAATGCCCCGGAGAAACCTCGTGTCCAGCACCACACTCTTGCGCTTGTATGCCCAGGCCGGGGATCTGGAGGGGGCGATACGAGTGTTCCAAACGATGGCATT